GATCGTCAGTAAATTTTGTAAATTTAGGAAAACCACTGCTTCCTTTAAGTCTAATTGAGAATGAAGATTATTAGATTTTTAAATTTACGAAATTTTGCCAGTAATAAGTCCCATTATCCTTGTCGGATTTGTTCGCGCAATGTGAGCGGAGTTTGATGCGTTTCTCTTTACCATCTGGCAAGGGGCAGCTATCAAACACGTACCTTCCGAAACCACTTGATTTCGCTATTTTTCACTTTCTGGGTTCAGAAGCTGTTATTGTAACTACGCTTGTCTTATCTTAGCTCCCATTTTCCATTTGACTCTTTTGTAGGTGAACACCAATTATTCAACACCTTTCAACAGAGGAGCTTTTGGTTGTATCATTTGTATCGGCGCTCCTTAACCAAGGGAAAAACTGGACCGAGTTTTTTTAGAAATTTGTTAACGGATCATGGATGGCTAATTAGTTTCTACTGATTTTTTTCTGCGAAATTTGAAGAAAGTAGCAAGGAATGAAGTTTATTATGGTGATACTAAAAGGCCTGAGAGGTTTACTCTTTTGCATACGACTTAAATAATGCTAAAACTGGAAGATGCCTTCAAAGATTTTTGATTACGTGTCACTTGAGTCTTACAAAGCTCGCTGCATCTTTTCTTAAATCCATTCATTCTTAATTATCTTCTACTTCGACCGAGTTTGTCTTTCAAGTTAGGCTAACGTCGATGTCGAATTTGGTTGATTGGACTATTTGGCAGTAGAAAATTCTCAAATAAGTAGAACGCCTCTGGAAAGATCAAAGTTTCGGTAATCATACGACCGAAGCCAATTGAAGCTCCTCACTACATACGGAAACATAGAAAGCAGTTAGAAAACATAACTACGTTTACCTATAAAATAGTAGATATGAAGCACGACTCACTATTCTGGCTGTGGTGAGAAATACAGTTTTTCGCGAGCTCTCTTGTTGTCACTTGGATGCCCGCATAAATGTCATAATGTACAGCAACTTTAGGTCGGGATTGAACCTCTTGCGAATGTTAGTCGATGTATTGCCGGTTATCCTCTCTACATCGTACATTTTGACTTTTTTGTTACACTGAGCCTTAGAGGCAGTGTGACAAAATAAAGGCTTTTAGGTTTTACCAAATCATGGTACTATACCTTCACCAAGCTGTTCGAGACCTATCACTGTGTAAAAGGCA